AAATTTTGTTCCTCTAATGCCACAATACTTTCCAGAATTTTTTTTTATGTTTTCGATTGGCTTATTTTTTATTTTTACCTGAAAACCCAAAGAAGATGACATTAGTAACTGATAACTACAATGACTTCAGGGAATGCTTAACAACGGCTTTTGGAAAAATTCAGGTAAATATGTACTAAATTTATTATTGTTACGATATTTCGTAGGGGTGTATTATCTAGGCAATTATTCTAACTAATCGCAAATTTCATTAACTTTGTATTTTTTTATAATGTGAATATGTATTTTGTTCCATTTCCGGAAGCGGCCACTGACCCTTTTGGTTCTCTCTACCTGTTATTGTAAATAGAAATGTAAATTCTGTCTATTATTTCGCACACAACAAAACAAAGGTCATTCGAGCAATATCAAAGTACAGTTCGGTACTCATCAAAATCATACAATCATGGTCGTCTCAACTGGATTACAAAAAACATTGGTACTACGAGCCGAGTTGCACAAAACATATTTCATTTTGAACAATATAAATAAAAAAGTAATATATAAAATCCGCATAGGAAAGATATGTGACACAAATTAGAGTGATTTTTAAAATCATTGTTTTGTTGCATTACGTCTTTTTGAATTGTTGGTGTTCAAATAATACATACAATTTAACAGACTATTTGAAACTGTAATGTGAGAAAATATAAGTAGTAATAGCAAACTAAGTTTATATGGCTAAACCATGTATAAACAAAAAAAGAGAATTTGGTAATAAACGAGTGTGTAACGTGATAAAGAAAATTAAACTGCAAAATATTTAACACAAAATTGTGTTAAATTCTACGAGGAAGAGGCGAGTATGAAACTCTGTACGTGCCATCAGCTATTGCTATTGTAATAAAAGGGATAATCGGGCGGGGTTAATAAACTAATGAAAGAGTAAATATCTTTTTGAAGGAGTACTGAATCATTTCTCAAATATTTTCAAATCCGACCTTGCCCTTTAGCAGGTACGTCAACAAACCCGATCTCCTTTGGGGTACTGGGAAGGTACTGAAAAACTACCCGCAAAGTTAAGTTTCAGATCAATACACAAAAAAGACAAAATTCATATATTCACAACTTTACATCGCTAAAAATTTTACACAGATCTCCGACCCCTCTGCTGTCGTCATCCACTCTCAAATGACATATTTATGACATTAATTTTCTTACCTACCTATCTGCATTATGCAAGTACCTATGAAATATACGTCGTATTGTAGATAAGATATCCACAATCACAGATCAAAATATAACCTCACAGGAAACAAACACGATTTTACTATAAAAATACATCTAATCAAATAATTGAATTAATAACTTCAATTATTTAACAGACCCTATTTTGAGATGTGAACTTCTTAAAATAGAGACCAAAGTATTTGAAGTTTTCTACTTCGCCAAGGGTTTTGACCGTGTACCCCATTGCAGAGTTCTATATAAATTTAAGCACCTCGAAATGGAGGCCCCTCGAGGTGGGCAGAGTGGGCAATGCCCACCCTATTTCATTGTTTACGATGCAAAATAAAACCTTTTTTTTTTTTCTTTTTTTAATGTTTTTAGATGTAGGTTGTTACCTTAAAAATTCCTCTCTGCTATGAAAGCGAGGGAAGATACACTTGCCCGTGCTCACTTCCGGGAGAGCCGGTACGTGGATACGAGATTTTGATTTAAAATAAAAAGCTAATTATTTTAGCGAGCTTGTATAATTAAAAAAAATAGTACCTTTAGTACAAAAAGTGACTTATAATCTAAGTTAATAATAGGTGAGTAAAACTAAAAATACTATCAGTAACAAATTACCACAACAAAACGAACTGACGGACTACTACGCGGCAAGGGCCTAGTTACAGAAAATTCAAACTGACTACTTAACAAATAAAAAAATTTGGGCACCATCAAGTTTATGCTAGGGTACGTGAAAACTTGATAAAAAACGTTCGTAAGGCTTATTATGTATGTTGAGAGAGAAAGAGGGAGAAAAAGGGGGAAAGAGAGGAAAAGAGAGAGAGAGAGAGAGAGAGAGAGAGAGAGAGAGAGAACGCAGTTGGAAAAAAACCGGTTTGGTCTGGGCGACAAACGATAAAAAAGTTCCAATGATGGTAAGGCGTACTTTTTTTACTCAGAGCTCACACAAAACCGGATACTTCCCACAGGACGACGGCGACCCGCTGACCAAGTCCTGTGGCAGCCTGGATCCCACGATGTGCAACTCACCAGGTCCGCGTCTTCGAGGCCGCCATCGTCCAAAACTCCGGTTTTCCTAACCCGGCTACGCCTCTGTACGGGCGTCGAAACTTCGCCCCTAGCGTGGACCCTTCATGTGGAGCCTACATGCGGTAAAATGCACGAAATTTACCTTATCAAAGGGAAACGCCTCACTACCAAAGTGACTCCTCTCAAAAAAAGGAAACCAACAGATCAACTCTGGCCAAACTCAAAACACACCTCCTGGCGGCACAAACTCTCTCTCTCTTGTGTTCGCTTTGCACCTCCTCCTCTTGCTTGGTCGTCTCCGTCCCCGCTAGTAAAGTGGTTCTCATCGCTCCTGTAACACTGAGACATGCCATTCTGAAAGTGTTCAAGTTGCAGGGCTGTTGTTTTTTGTCCGGCTCCGGGCCACCAAACGAAATCTCCGTAGCATAGCATCGGTCTTACGATTGCCGTGTAGATTCAGAGGGTGATCTTGGGGTTTAATCCCCACAGACCTTCCCACCACCCTACGATATTACCAAAGAGCCAAGCGTGCTTTTTCCACTTTATCGTCTACATGCTTCTTCCAATTCAGTCGCCAGTCCAATACAACACCCAGGTATTTGATTTCGTCCGAAAGTTGAAGCGTTGTGTTAAATATTTTTGGCATCTGTAGTGTGCCAATTTTCCTTTTTCTAGTGAACAGGATTAATTTCGTCTTATCTCCATTAACGGAGAGGGTATACCTGCTGCATAGGAAGAAACGAATCTGTTATACGTGATAGTTTAATGAGAATAGAAGTCAATCAACTTTATTAGTGCTATACTTACAACTTTTTAAATGTGCTTGTACAAGTAAAGTTATATATACAGGCTGATTCAGTGTAAATGACGAATCGACCTGTACGGATAGGCACCCCAAAATACATATTTCTTCTATCCCTTGATTCACAGTAGAGTTCTGACAATATCATGATTCCAAGTTTGCATTCTTATGTCACTGTCAATTCTGGGCAGTTGAAAATTATTTCCAAAAATGTTAAGATATTCATATACCAACACCGAGAAAACGGACATGATCTTAATTTATGGAGAAATGCTTTAGTGATGGCAAATTTGTACCCCCAGAGATATGCCGAACATAAACATCGAACAGATAAAAATTTCATAAGACGAAATGAAATTACGAAACGATTGTCCTGTGAGTAAACGGAGAAGTTTTAACCGCTACACAATTTGGTCAACGAGATTCCAATTTTAGAGATCATTTTAGAAAATCCTCACTTTGAACAACGACCAATTGCGAGAGAAATTGGCATGGGCGTGTCTTTGTCGAATGTTAAAACTTAACAATTTCCACACGTATCACATGCAGACTGACTTTCTCCGAAGATCGATTAACATTTTGCAGTTTTGTTGAAAGAGTAGTTGCTAGAGGATCTCTTTTTTTTAATAATTAATTTCCAACAGGCTGAGGCCCAATTATAGGAATCGGGACATACACAAACACCCAGAGGCATAGCGGGAATCGAACCCACGACTCAAGGTGTAGTGAGCAGATGCCAAGCCATCTCACCGACCCGGTGGGTAATTTTATCAGGAACATAAACAAACACAACTTACATTATTATGCACAAGAAAATCCGCGATGGATTCGTGAAACTCCTTTTCAGAGAGTTGAGAGAGTCATCAATTGGTATTAAATTTCAAAATAATGTAAGACGTGTCAGTGACATTCTGTTTTAACCTTTCTAAAACCACAAGCTCGGTGGATTTGTGATATTTTTGAAATTGTAGTGTGAATCAAGGAATAAATGAATAATGTATTTGGGGTTCCCGCTAATTACAAATTACATGCGTCACTTAGGCCGAGTCACCCTGTACAATTAAATATATTTCAAAACCATTTGCAGTAATAGTATTTAACATTACTAGCATGGTAAAAGTGTTTTTACTGGTGAACAGAAAGACATGCGTTCCGGAGCCAGTAAAACCGTTACTAAGCATGTACTGTTAAATATTTTATTTGTTTCTTTCTCACTTGTAAATATTTAACTATTATGAATTATTAAAAACCCTAGAAATTTCGATATTTGAAAAAAAAAAAACAAAATCCTATCATGAGCTTTAGACGTGCTGCCTGGGAAACGCACGTCAACACGACACAATGTTCTGTTGATGAGTATACCGCAAGGGATATTATTGATGAAGCACCAAGTGCAACAGCAAGTTTGTTACCTTAAAAATCTTTAACTTTGGCTGTCGTTTCAAATTATCATAATTTAAAATATATGAGCACAAACAGAGGAGTAAGAATTTTACGATGATTATAAGTGAGGAACAAATAAAATTAATTAATTTTAACATTATACCTCACTGTTCTTTGTAACAGCTCAAAAAGCAGTGAGCTATATTATTTAAGTGTTCCATTGCTAAGTTACTAAAACCTGTCATACAGGAGCTGTCTTGCGGAGCAGACAGTTGTTACAGAGAAAGGTTTTACATAGGAAAAAAGCTTTTTCTGTCTGAAGTTACAGTAAAATCTGCAGGCAGAAATTGAGAAAATATGAAAGCAGCCAGTCGCTTAATGGACTCGATTACAATACTTCCTTAGCTTACGTTAAGGGAATAAAAATATTGTTTAGAAATGTGTCGCTGAACAATCTGTGTGAAAAAGTTACATTACGTCATAAATTTAATATGCATAATGTGCATTTTAAATTGAACAATCGAAAAATCCGCGAAGAAACTAAAGTTTGCGTATGTGAAGTTAACAACAATTACTTGCTGCTCTGGGAGTCACTAACCCTAGCCATAACGGCAGCAAATGAGTACACTGCCCTTGAAATCTAAAAATAAGAATAAAAATAATATCGACACATGCTATAATGAAAAAAACGCATTTTTACCCTGACTCCGAGTTCATAATTACAAGACACAGATTCCGAAAATTTAAGCTTCATCGGTTCTTGAAACATAATCATTGTTATCAAAATAATTTTTCTGTTGCTTGTGTTAAACGAGGTCCAGCGAGTAGCATATATGGTATCGAATACTTTCATTGTCTAAAAAAAAAAACAAATAATAAGTTGGTGTATTTCTCACCTCATCCAAATCCAGTACGTTGTTTTCAAATTCTTGACCACAATGTGCATATATTATCAAAGTCGACGTTGAGCTAACGCACCACAGAAAGTTTTGGAAATAACACCAGTAACCAAGCGACTGTTCCTACAATCAAATAGAAAAGTTTGGATAGCAAATAGTGAAGATTGCTTACAAGGTAGACGAAACTCAGGAGACTCAGTCCTATCAGTACTGCTGACATGGCAAGTGGTGGTATGAAATGTACCGCTAACATAGATGCCGCTAGGTTTGCCACTCTATCAAAATATTAATTTCTAATAATGTTTAACATATTGATTTCGTACCTTGTCACTTCGGTCAGTTTTGTAACCATCAAAACAAGTCTTGCTTTTATGGTATTTTGGTATTCATCACAGTTAAGTAAGTCGTCATCACTCTGCTCGTCATACTCAGCAGCAATATGTTCAATCATATCAAGTGTCATGTAAAGTTGAAATTTTACATGTGAAACAAAATACAACAGAGCGTACGCTAGTTGTACGAACATGTACCCAACTACTGGATAGCTGAGCAAGTAAAGTGCTTCTAAAACGTACGAATGGCAATAATCCTGGTAAAAAGTTATTGCAAACTGAAATTTTCTTTCTGTTCCTATGGGAACAAGGAGACTTCCAGAAATTAAAGTATAAACGAAGTGAAATTTTACGAAGGACGTTATTTGTTGGGATTCTTTTTCTATGCGATTATTCGTTTCTCTCGAAACACAATCAAGATCAAATTTGAAAGGTTCCCAGTATTTTAGAAAATTATGTATAATGGGCCGTTTCCATAATAAAGTTGCACAAAGAATTGCAATCTAAAAGTGTATAATAAAATACGTATAATAAAAGTTATGGTATATTATGATGATAAACCAAAGTCATACGGCATTTTGTGGTCGAAGTAGCGATAATAGAACATCAGTTCTAATTTGTAAATCTTACTTTTATCTTTACGTTAATCAAAATACAAATGACAATTCATGTTGGTTATTCTAACAATTCTTCAAACAATTTCATTGTCTCGTGAAAAGTACCTAAAGTGTACCATTTTGTTTTCAAGACACACTATATTTATAAATCGTGTCAAAATGTGGCGGATTATAGAGAATTTTTTTCTATTCCCAAATGTACCTATATTCACACATTTCTAAATTACCTACTGAATGGAAATCTATATAATTGCAGCTAACTGAACGGATATGGTTTCATAATAATATACCCACAAGGATGGCTATGAAATCAACCAATCAGCGTGTTTGCAATTTTGACATAAGAAAGAAGAAGGCTAAATAAGGCAAGTTCGAGTAAATTGGCGTCTTTTAGGTTAGATGTTGTATTTTAATACAAAAGCAAATCGTCTTATGGATTTATTATTGTTTTCCCTTCCTGATCAAATAGGAATATTCAGATACTACAAAAAAGTCATTATATTAAAAGCTCCTAATAATAATAACGACAATTCACATTGATTTGCAGGGACCACGAATAATAAACAATAAGTAGTGTGACAACTGTTACTACATAATTACTGGCAGGTATTGCTTAGCTAATAATGTGTTAGTACTAATGTCGTTAACTTTTTTAAATAATTGACAATTTATAGTTGTCATCACTGTCATTATGACAATTTGTATTATCCATTTCAGATCGCTAGAAATAACAAAATCTAGTCACTTTATTTTTTGAGCTATGTAATTATTATGGGCATCATTTTTCCAATTTAAGATCGGCTTAGAAGGTCAAGCCGAATGATTAATTCTCCATAAAATGTCAGTAATGTCAGTCTAAATAAATTAATCTAATTCATCTACAAACTCAAATTTTGAGTCATCCGAATCTGAATCCGCCAAATTTATAACCACGGGTGAAATACTGTCCACAGGTGAGGTTCCATTAACTTCTCTGAGTCCTCGTCAATTCGCTTTTTACAGTGCAAAACATTTTTTCTCCAGATGCTTCAAGTGCATGGCAGTACGATGGCTTTCAGCCTTAAATTACGAACTATCTTGTAATACATAGAATGCAAACAATCTATCAAGTGTACGTACGTAAAATTCTTGTGAAATTTTCATAAGTTTCAGAAGTTATAGTGCGCATTATTACATAAAAATTACATATTCAGATAGTGTAAAATCTTCTGAATTTTGTGACGTGCATTTGATTGTCCCTTGATTTGAAATAGCTTGGTAATTTGGCTGGTAAGTGAGCACTTTAATTCACAACTTCTATCAGTGAATGTTCTTGTGTTCACTTTTTATTGCTCCTTAATTGAATGTCAATGAATGCTGTTATTGATTATTAGTGCCTTTAAAATTTCTCTTCTCAATTGGCTTAACCTTTGTACTCAGTCGCTGTTCCCTGCCGTTGTCGATCTTTCCTTGTGTGTGAATATTTTTTAGAAAGTCACTGGGACCGACACCGCCAGTGTGAAAAAAGTGTCCCTGTTATATCCAACTTCCTGAATTATGAGCGTTATAAATTGTAGTTGTTGTAATGGTCCTGCAGAACCTCATAAAATTGTGAACTGTTGTGTATGTAACAAACCCTATAAAATTGATTGTGTGAATATTTCATCAGGGGAGGCCAGAAAAATTCACTCAAAGTCCGGCTTGACTTGGACATGCAAGAATTGTGCCCAGTTGGGAAATGATATCAATAGTTTAAAGAAAATCATTATTGCACTACAAAATGATATCAATGAGTTGAAATCAAAAATGCTGGCACCGGATGCTACAAATTCACAGGCTCATTTACTTGATGTGGAAAAGATTGTTCAGGAGGTAGCCGATAGAGAGAAACGTAAGTTTAACATCGTTGTCTTTGGTCTCAAAGAAGACAAGGATCTTAAGACAAATAACGATCAACTGAACGCTGATAAATAGAGAGCGGAAAATATGCAGCAAAATTTTGGGAAATATGATCATATGATATGCACCAAATTTATGCAAATATGCAGTAACTTTCCTAATATATGCAGAGATATGCAGTTGCATATGCTCCAAAAATTAAAAAAAAAGCTCAATAAGCGAACTAAATTTATTTACAAATCACAAAAACAGGCTTCCCGAGCTTACGTTTTATTACAAAAAATACATAAATCACTCTAACACATAGATCACACTTTTACTAAAAAATAAATACAAACAGAACAAATTAAAAAATAGTAGTAATCAACTGTTTAATTACTATTTTGGTAACAATTTGTTATTAAATATTTTTCGAAATATTGTAACAAAAAGTTTTTCCTGTGATTCTCTAGTATGTAAATATTTGTAAATCGAAAAACTGCGTACTTACCGGTCTAGAAAAATGAAAAATAATAGGATAATGTCCTTCCGACCACCACAAAACATACCATTAATACACCGAAAGAACGAACAAAAATGTTGGGAATGAACTTATTTCCAAAAGTAATTAGGGCGCGATTTTATCTGGAAGGATGGCTTAACACCCAGTGGTTTCTCCAAACTACCATAAAATCCAAACCTTTCCTAGTTATTTGAACCTCAGAACAATATTTGCAATATGATTCATGAAATTTTGTCTTTCTAGATAAATGTCGATAGAATGACAATCATTTTTTATTTCAAAGTTGCACAAAAATTGATAAAAATGCAAAATATGCACTCGTTACGTAAAATATGCAGCAGAAAGCAAATATATGCAAATATGCAATTTTTTTATAGCTGTATTCATTTTTAATTAGCATGATTCGTTCACAAATTAAATATCAAGACTTATATGCAAAAAATAACGGATATGCAAATTTCATAAAATCCGCTCTCTACTGATAAAGTTATACTTCCAAAAATTCTTTCCGCGGTTGGTTTCAATGAAAACGATTTAAACTTTATGCGGTTGGGAAAATTTGATTCTTCTAAACAAGAGCGTTGTCGTCCTGTGAAGGTATTTTTGTCTTCGACTGGTAATGTTATTGACATCTTGCGTAATTCTTTTAAGCTTAAACTTATTCCTGATTACAGTAATATTTCTATTTCGTCTGACCGAACACCAATGCAGCTTCAGGCTTATAAAGCTGTTAAAAATGAATTATCTAATCGTTTAGCCAATGGAGAGTTGAATCTTAAAATCAAATATAAAAATGGAATTCCTGGCATTGTCTCAAATTTAAACTAAACGCGCCCAACAATAATCCCACCATCATTAATATCTACTATCAAAATACAAGGGGTCTTCGATCTAAAACACATGATTTTTATCTTGGCGTCTGTGAATCCTCATATGATATTGTTATTGCTACCGAATCATGGTTAAATAACTCTATTCAGGATTATGAATTATTTCCTTCTTGTTATAATATTGTTCGAGCTGACCGAAAATTTGATGTTGTTAACAAATCTGATGGTGGAGGTGTTGTAATTGGTCTTATTGATAAAATATTATACACTGTTGTTGACGTTTCGAACATTTCTCAACTGGTGCCATTGATTGATATTGCTGTATGTGAATGTCAGTTGTCTACTACACATTTTTTCCTTGTTGTATTGTATATACCCCCGAATTTATCATCTAATGACTATGAAATCTTTTTTGAAGCACTTGAAATATTCCTTGCTAATAAATCTGTCTTAATAATTGGAGACTTTAACATAACATCTTATATTGATAAAAATACTACATGCACTAGTGCTAGATCTCTTCAACACTTATGCAGTTCTCTTGGTCTTGCACAATTTAATGGCATAATTAATACAAATAATAGAGTTTTAGACTTAGTATTATCCAATCCAAATTACAGTATTGAGGTTATTCGAGATGATCAACCATTTATAATTGAGGACAACCATCACCCTGCCCTGGCAATTTCAGTTCAAATCCCGGCCAGTCTGAATTCACTTCCGTTTCCGTCTGCTCAAAATAAACGATTTAACTTCAGAAAAGCGAATTTCATTACATTATACAATGATCTTCTTAACATGGGCTGGTCCTGTATTGAAAGGTACTCTGAGGTAAACCAAGCACTTCATGCTTTTTATAATATTCTATACGGAATTTTGGAAAATTCAGTTCCCCAAAATAAAACACAAAAGTGTCAGTATCCTCCTTGGTTTTCCTCTAGTATTATATCTAACTTAAAACTCAAAAATTACTACAGGCGGAAGTGGAGATCTAGTAAAAATGTTATTTATTTAGAGAATTTTAAAAGATTACGCCGTCTTTGCAAGAATGATATTTCTACAGCTTATGCTTCTTATATGGATCGAATTGAACAATCCCTTCATTCCGACCCCAAGGAAGTATTCAAGTACTTACACATGAAGCAAGGCACAACCAGGATTCCGGGCAGAATGTATGATGGTAATATAATGTATGACTCTGCAAGTGAAATTGTAAATGCTTTTACAAGCACATTCTCTCAATCTTTTAGTGATTCATCAAATGTTCCAGTTGTTGATACTCACATTTCTTATAATACTTTCAATTTCCAAAAGGTAGGTATGTGAAGAGGATTTAATAAAAATAATGTCAACCTTTTCAAACAAAAATACAGCAGGTGATGATCTGATACCCAGCTTTTTAGTTCGTGATTGCAGATACGTTTTGGCTAAACCTTTATGTACAATTATTAACTTAGCTATTTCTTCATGTTGTTTTCCCATATTGTGGAAACGTGCTAGAGTTGTTCCGGTTTATAAGAAGAATGATATCTCTCAACTAAAAAACTATAGACCAATAGCTATATTAAATAACTTTTCGAAAATATTTGAACAAGTTATATACAGTACCATCTATCTTAATACTCATCTTCACATCTCTCCTTATCAACACGGTTTTTTAACTGGTAAATCGACCATTACAAACCTCATGATAGTAACGCAATATATTTCTGAAGAATTAGATAAAGGTGGACACGTGTATGTAATCTACACGGACTTTTCTAGTGCGTTTGACCGTGTTGATCACAACTTGTTGCTGAATAAGCTCAGTTTTTTTGGCATGTCTCCATCATTTATTAAACTTATTGAATCCTACTTGGTTGCACGAATTAACTATGTCTTTTATAATGGTTACTTATCACATGAGTATGTGTCAACGTCAGGTGTACCTCAAGGTTCCAACCTGGGACCTCTTCTTTTTATATTATTTATTGATGACTTATTGAGGGCACTTACATGTCCTAGACTTGGATTTGCTGATGATTTAAAAATGTATTCTTCCGTTGATAATCTTAATGACATGAAGCTTCTTCAGGACAACCTAGACATGATTTACAGATGGTCTGTAGAAAATAAAATTCTTTTGAACATTATTAAGTGCTGTTTTGTGACTTTTACTCGCAAAATAAATCATTTGTTTTCTGCTTATTACATCAATGACCAAAATCTTATTAAAAATGACACTGTTAAAGACTTGGGCGTAGTCTTTGATTCACAGTTAACTTTTTCAGAGCACATTGAAACACTTGTATCATCTGCCTCAAAATCTCTGGGATTTGTAATACGCATTTCGAAATATTTTAGAACTCCAGCTTTATTCAAATCATTTTACTTTTGTTTTGTAGTCAGTAAACTCGAATATGCTGCAGTAATATGGTCACCTTATTATTTACAATACGAACTTATTATTGAGCGTATTCAACGTCGATTTCTGAAGTTTA